ACTAAAGGGAGCAAAGTAATTTTCAAAAGGTTGCTTTACATGCAAAATCAATGTAATCACGTAGAAGGCTTTCTGCAACAGGACAAACAAGACTGCTGCATTTTTCATGGTTTGGTTCTTTACCATGGCTGTGTTTAATCCAATGGAAATTTCCATCCCAACACAGCTAACATTCTATCAAACATCAAGCTTCTATCATAAACAAGGAAACATAGCATTCGACACCCAAACATGCAAATTTCAAACCCAGAAATACCATTCTTTCTCGGAAGCTTTAGTGTCAAAACAGTCATGAAGGAATAGACTACAAAACAAGTATGCATTACCCAAAACACCCAAACAAATCTAATCTCCGAAACAAACTTCTAGAGACTTCAATCCACACTCCCAATAAACAAAACCAGAACATCAGAGCAATATAAACACATCACGTCAAACTTGCCAGATCCGCTGCAGATTCAGCAACCAAGAAGGAAAAAAAAACGGCTGCAACAAGCCAAAAGCTTGAAGCTTGTCGCAGCAGACTCTAAATCTGACTCTTAAGGGTCCTGACAGCCAAAACAAATGATACACGGACCATTTTCAAACAAAGCAAGGGGAAAGCATGAAGGATGCACGGGGAAAAAGCAATTGGTCTCTGTTTCGGATGAAATCTATGGTGATATCATCCGAAACCAACTAAACTTTACAGCTTCATCAGCAGACATCCAAGATGACAGCCATGACGCGGATCCACCATCTCCCCAGATGTACAAATAAAAACGTGAAGGAAGAAAACTCACAGCAAATTTGGCGACAAAACGATTTAACAATCAGATGAAAGCTTGATGATTCATGACCGAAAGAGAATGAAAGGTTACCTTCACTCCTTTGAATCGTAGACAAACAGTGCCTGGAGGGAGGAGCAATGAATCACGGACGCAGGCCAAGCGAAGCTGGGAAAAGTTCCACCTTTCTGCTGCGATTGCCCTCCAGATTCTCGATCACCTCTCTCCTTGTTAAGTTGCCGGTTTCTTCCTCAACCCTTGACTGTTCTTGCTTTCCTGTTCTTCCTTTCTTTTCTCTCAATTTTCTTAGCCGCCCCTCTCTGGTTTCTTTTCCTAGCCGTCCGTCCTCTCTCCTCCCTCCTATTTTCTAGCTCTCTCCAGATCCCCCCTTTTTTCCTCTGTCGGCTACTGTCAAATGCAACCCACCTTCATGCCAAACCCTTCATCCCACGGTCCTCCTTTGCTGCTTCTCCTTCTTTTCATTTTTAGCCTTCCACCTTGCATGGAAGCTTCCTCCATTTAGCCAGGTGTCTGGCCACCTGGAACCACCAGCCTTCTCTTCTAAAATTGCAGCCAAAGGGCTGCCCGAGGCCTTCCTTGCAAGCTGCGAAAATTCGCAGCTTGCATGTCGCGGTTTTTTTTTTTTTTCAGGATAAAATATTAATAATAATAATAACAATAATAGAAATAAAAAATAAAATGCAATCAAAAAATGTTTGTAATTTCTTAAACAGCCCAAAACCCGTATGCGGGTTTTCTCACTTTTTTTCCCCTTTTTTTTTTTAGAATAATAATAAAACTAAGTAATAAAAAACAACAATTTAAGTAGCATCACACTAAAAACAATAAAGTTTCCATTTTTCAATCTTTTTTTCCTTCATTTTTCATTTTCATCTTTTTTTTCTTTTTCTTTTTTTCTCTTTTTTTCTTTTTCGAGAAATTCTATGCTAAAAACTTTCAAATAAAGATAAAACTAAAAAACTAAAAACTAAAAAGTGAATAAAACTAACATGACAAATAAACTAAATAGTAAATGAAATTACACTAAAATTTTGATGTCTACAGTTTGCCCCTCTTTGTCTGAGTTTTGAAAAAACTTGAGACAAAGAAGTAGACACCAAATACTCACCTGTGTCATTTGGCCGCAAAATGATTCCAACGAACAGGAATTTAAAACGGGACTGACCCGAACAGGAATTTAAACGGGACTGACCCGAAAAGGAAATTTAAAACGGGACTGACCCAAACAAGAATTTAAAAACAGGATTGGTCCGAACAAGAATTTAAAACGGGACTGACCCGAACAAGAAATTTAAAACGGGACTGACCCGAACAGGAATTTAAATGGGATAGACCCACGGGATAGACCCGGACAGAAATGTAAACAGGATAGACCCACGGAATAGACCCGGACAGAAATGTAAACGGGATAGACCCGGACAGAAATGTAAATGGGATAGACCCACGGGATAGACCCGGACAGAAATGTAAATGGGATAGACCTACGGGATAGACCCGGACAGAAATGTAAACGGGATAGACCCGGACAGAAATGTAAACGGGATAGACCCGGACAGAAATGTAAATGGGATAGACCCACGGGATTTAAAACGATGAGTGGAGTTTTTACCTGAGAACAGCTAAAAGTTTTGTATCGAGGAAAGATTTGATCCTTGTAGCTAAAATGGTAGCTGACTTTGTTTTAACACATTGTTTCTTCTGATTGCACTTGCCAGTAATACTGTTGATTCGTCTTTTGTCCACTGGGGAGCTTTTCTGACACTAATTTGGGCGAGAAAAGAGGGTGGTTGTTTCCATTTGTAGATGTAGCATTCCTGCAAGAAAAAGAGGAAATAACGAACTTGCCACCATCATTGGATCCAGTTTCCTTTGAGAATCGTGTAAACATGAGTCTTTTGATGCTTTTGCCTCTACTCTGCGGTGTCAGGCTTGGTTGAATTTGCGAAAACCTTTTGACTCTTGAGACTGATGAAGTACGCATTTGCCATATCCACAAATCTGTGTAGCAAGTTTGTGGCATTTCACCCATTTTAATAGACGATTGAATCCAACGTGTTTCACAAACCTTAGGGTTTATCATCCATTCGAATCCAATGGTGAAAGAATGAATGATGTATGAAAATTTGTCATAGAAAAATCAATGATATGTACAAGATGATTTCCTATGTCAGGCAAGAATAAGTATGCAAAAGAAGACACACAACCACAAGCAGTCGAATGCAAGTAATCGAAAAAAAACCAAGAGGCTTTTGAAGATACATTTTGCAAAAGGATACTTGTAAAGAAAAATACAAATTTGGCCAACGAATATCATATTCAAGACTTTGGATATATTCGCTTCAGAATTCGATACTGGCAGAAGTATCATAAAAATGAGGAAAAATCCAAATGAACCAGTTCACCAGCTGTTCCGTCTCGTGCTCGTCTGTTGAGAAAAACTGCCTTGGCGCCCTTTCGGGTTTTCACCAAGGTTGCCTCCACCCTTTTTGTTTTTGTTTTGTCTTTTCCTTTTTTTTTTATTTTTTCCTTTCTTTTTCTTTTCTTTTCCCGAGGCGCCCTTTCGGGTTTTCACCTAAAGAACAATGAAATACCTCGACCATGATCGACTCAGAAATATGAGTTAAAGGTTTCGGGCATCAGTAAAATGCACTTCCCTTGTAAGATTAGGCGAAAGTTAGCAAACTTTCAAGTAGAAATGTAGCAAGTGACGAAAGCCAGGACTTTGGGCTTTTGTAATGAGGTCAGGTGGGGTGTTTTCAAGAAAAGTTGAGGGTTGAAAGCAAATTTCGATGCGAGGTGTGAAATAACCTGAGATTGCACTATTTTGAAATTGTCTCCAATTTTGAACGAAACTGAGGAAATTTTGCCCCAGTTTGATCGGATTTTCTCTTTTTGCATTTTCGTTATTGCATTTTCCTCACTTTTGCATTTTTCTTTAAAAGCTAAATTTGCCCCAGTGTGGGGTTCTTCTTTTTTTTTTCTTCTCTCTCTCTTGCCTTTTATCTTTCTTTCAAAAATAACTTTGCCCCAGTGTGGGTTTTCTTTTCTTTTTGATCATCTCTCTTTCAAAATAAATTTGCCCCAGTGTGGGGTTTGCAATTCTCAGGGGTTATCAAACGAAAATTTATCAATTCTGATGGCTCAAAGGGGACAAGTAGGGATAAAATGTTTTAAGTGTAAAAGAAGATGGCCTGACTTGCATTTGCCATTCGCATGAATTTCTAAAGAAAATTTGCATGATCAAATGAAAAACTTCTTGCACATATCTGAGTTGATGGGTTGAGGGAATGTTCGCCTATCCATTTCTGCCAAAAAAAAATGCTCCGCCAGGTAATACCTTTTGGACAATGAACGGCCTTTTCTGATTTGGAGCATATTTGCCTCTGCCTTCGTCCTGTCTTGGCAAAATTCGCTTGAGTGCTTTGTCACCTTCCTCAAAATGTATGCTGATGAAACTTCTTGTTGCAGGCCCAGGCCATGCATTTTTGTAACATTTCATGACAAACGGCATTTTTTGGTTGGACTCCCATTAGAGTGTGCAAAGATAGAATTTCTGCTGCTGCAAACGAGACTGCCTCCAACCATCTGTACACTCTGACACATAGTCAAACCCTTAATCATCTCATTTTCTGCTTTTGTCCAAACGAATGCTGATTTATGTCTTCTTGACCTCATTCTTAGTGCCAAAGTGAACAATTGCTGTGGCTTCTAGGTTTGGTTCGAATTTCTCCTCATGTTGTTCAAGATTTTTGAAAAGAATCAAATATTTTCTCATTATCACTCTCGCTTGGAAATTTGGGTTCCAAAATTCTCAAGTCATGAGTGAGATAGAGATTGCCATTATTGAATTCCAGAACGGTGATATCCAAAGGGTCAAATAGCTTTATTTTTTGGCCATCTGAAAGAATTAACGAATTTGGGATAATAAGCAAACAAGTATACAACAAACAAATGAACAAGCAATATGACCGAAATATAAACAAACGAATAAACAAAATAACATGACAAGAATGACTTGTGCATTTTCATAAAACCTTTGATTGAAAGCGGAAACAATAAGAAAGCAAGTGGAAATGAAATGAAAACATCTGCAAACTTTTAGTCAAAGGTAAAGATACTTTCATTAGCAAAAGCATTTTCATGAGTTCGCATGAATGACAAACCCCTTTAGGTTTACTGAAACTCCTTCTGAATGGGCAGAAACTCGGCTGTTCAATTGGAAATTGATCCTTCAGGGATGTCGGGAAATTCTGCATCATTTCCAAACACCTCAGCCTCACTTAACGAGTTTCTAACAGGCTCCTTAAATTCTGTATTGTCCATAATAACCCCAATGGTGTTATCGTACTCTGGCAGGGGGTTCTTATCCACATTTGGCGCTTGTGCCTCTTTTCTTCTAATTACAATCTCTCCAGCTTCAATCATGTCTTGAATTTTATGCTTGAGTGCTTTACACTCAGCAATCGGATGGCCGAGTGCCCCTGAATGATAAGCACAGACAGCTTGTGGGTTATACCCAACGGGCATGCCATACGGATAGGTTGGAGGGGGAATGATACCTATTTTTTCGGCAGCCTTCAATTGGTCATATAATTGATCCAAAGGCCTGTCGAGATTGGTGAATGTGCGGTTACGTCCTGGGTTGTTGGCTTTAGGGGGTTGAGGATAGTTGTAAACGGGTCTGTTTGGTGGAGGCATTCTTGGATTGAATGGAGACCGATGACGGTTTTGGTGAGGATTTGGTTGAGAAATATGAAAAGGGACTAAAGATGGGTTAGTATAGCTTGGACGAGATCGAGGGTGGTGAATATTGGTAGTATATACATGGTGAGGGTTTGAATAGCAAGGGTAAGGTGGTTGGTAGGTTGGATTGTGTTGGTATTGGGGTCTGGGTGAAGGGTTGTGACTCCAGACAAAAGTTGCATCCCCCTCTTTCTTTTTAAACTGTGGTCCTTTCCCACTGCTTCCTTGTCCTTGCAAAGCTTCTACTTGTGATTTTAGGGCAGAGACGTTAACAATTTTTCCGACTCTCACAAAATCATCATACTCTTCGAGTTTATTCACAATCGCAGCAAATGAACACCCGGTCATACGGAAGATTTCTTCGAAGTGTGGAGGATCATGCGCCTTTATGAAAGTGTGAATAATTTCATCTTCGGTCATCGGAGGCTCAACCTTGGCAGCTATCTTTCTCCATCTTTTGGCGTACGTCTTATGATCTTCAGCTGGTCGCCTCTTCGTGCTTTCCAAAGTAGTTCTGGTCGGTGCTAGCTCGCAGTTATACTTGTATTGCCTGATGAAGGCGTTGGACAGATCAAGCCAAGTCTTCACTTCCTCTGGCTTTAAGTTTGAATACCAATCGAGGGCGTCTCCTTCTAGACTCTCTGGAAATAACCTTAATGGCAAGTTTTCGTCATCCACCGGTCTGCCCAACTTGTTGGCAAACAAACGCAAGTGTGTCTTAGGGTTGCCCGTACCATCATATTTATTGAACTTCGGAGTCTTGAACCCCACGGGCAGTTGTACATTTGGAAAAAGGCACAGATCATCGTAGTCTAGCACCCCCTGTTTGCTTAAACCTTGGCTTTTCTTGATGAACTCATCGAAACGATCCAACCTCTTGAGTAGCTTCATATCCACCGGGGCAGACGACTCTCCCACTTCTGGTTTGGTTTGAACAGTATGCTCTGGCACAACAGGCTCTGCGGTAGTCTGATAAAAAGCTTGTGGATCCAGAGGCATGTTTGGACCACCTTGAGGCTGAAATCCTTGCCCATAGGGTGGATAGAACGGAGGATTCTGAGTATAAGTATACTGCGGGTTGAAAACTCCCTCAAAAGTGGTTTGAATTGGAGGAATGACAAATGGTTCGGATTCCGGTTGTTTGACGGGCACAGGCTCGGGCTGCACTCCGCTACTAATGAGCTCGTCGATCAACTTCTTTTGGGGCGGCCATTTCAGATGCCATTTCCCCAAATTTGGTGAGTAATTCAGTCAACTGAACCCCGGGACTTGTGGCTTCCGGCTGGGTAATTGCAGCGATCTTATCAGACGATTCTGGCTGAGTACTCATGTCTACACGATTCCTTTGGGCTTTACTTCGGGATCGCGTTATGATGGGGCTTCGACGAGAAGCTATGTTTAAATATTACCTGAGAATTTTTGAAAGATTGCCTTTAGATTTAACCCTCGCTTAGTTATTCCAATAAAAATAAAGAAAAAGAAAAGAAAAAGGCAAGAGTTAGTAGATATCCAGAAAATTCGGATGCATGTCCTATGGGGGAACCCTTTTGTGCCAAGGGTAGGCCTAGCATGAAAATGCAATCCTCTAGGGTAGGCACCATACCATACCTGAGGGGTCCGATCAACTTATTGACATTTGATTAGAAAGTAATTTGGAAATTTTGGACCAATTGAACAGCGAGAAATTTCCAACAAAAAGAGGACAAATCCGAATGAATGATTGGTTTTGGTTGGCACAAAAATTTATACAAATCGATTTAACTTTGACGAGCTTGTTATTGGAGAAACTTGAAATTTCTTAAAATGGATTGAAACCCTAATCTATCCAAGTCGAATGAATGCATTTTGATGATTTCCTCAAACAATTAGCCATTTTAATTGTAAAATTGGGCATCGAAACCCTAAATCGTCAAACGGATCGGATGAAACCGATAAATTATTGAAAATTGACTGGGTCACCCTAAAATTGGGTAATTTGGTCAAATGAGATGAAATGGAATTGATGATCTCTTCAAAATCGACCAGATCACCCAAAAAGGGTAAATTGGTCAAATGAATTGAATGAAATTGACGATTTATTCAAAAATCGACCAGATCACCCAAAAAGGGTAAATTGGTCAAATGAATTCCAAATCGACTAGGTAAGCTTAAAAATGAACAAGTTGATAAAATGGACTGGATGAAATTGATGAATGAAATGGTCTAATGGATTGAATGGGATTAACAGCTTATTTAAAAAGCAATCTATCAACTGGTAGTTTCAAAAATTTATTGAGATGCATTAGTCTATGAGCACTTCTAAAATCAAATATTGGCATCAATTTATCGTCTCAATAGTGAGGAATTACTTGTGAATTTCTTCAAATTAATGTCCTTTAAGCAAGGAAATTTTACCAATTTTGATAAAATGGCCAAAAGATGATTGTTAGATGCTCATATTCTAATGGTTCAAAAATTGCTTTGCCGTCTTCGAAAAGATCGGATCCTACCTTATCTCGTGCACTACCCCTTCGGATGATACAAAATGTAAACGTGCAAGTCTCATTGGATTATATATCCGAGACACAGGGCGGTTTAATCCTAGCATGGGATCCCCTAAATGGCATTCCCTTTCTAGGGTGGATGCATGATGCCATTTTATCAAAGCGAGCACACATGCATTACACAAAATGAAACATGACCTAAAGGGACCTCTTTTGTATGCCGGGGTGAGTCTAGAATGAAATATATTCATGTTACGCATGTAAAGCGTTGAATTTAAACGTGTCACATTCAAATGGGGTAGGCTCCTAGAGAGTGCCATGCCAGGACTCTTATTTCCTAGGGCTAATGAATGCAATGGAGACACAAACCACGAAAGGTTAGTTCAATCAGATAAATACACATAACACATTGTAGCAAAGCAATACAAAGAGATAAAGTATTAAAAAAATGGAGGGGGTTGGATCCCTCCCCTCGTGAATGGTGTCCCTAATAGGATAAGGCAGACTCTACCCTAGGCAATTCTAATATGGATGCATGAGGTTGGAGTTCACTAATGCATCTAGACTCGATAAGCTCAGGTCCCCGAGCCTTCAGACTTGGAAACCAAAGGTCATCACCCCCAAGGTTCCTTGTCGGTGGCTCGAGCGATTCCCCAGACATTGCTACGCACACGTCGTGTCACGGCTACATGTCCAGGTGAATCTAAAGAAATCCTCAACCTTCGACTAAAAACTAAAGGCTATTAACCCAAAGTTTAAAGCGGAAGATTGAGTGACCCCTCGAATCATGCTACGCACACGTCGTGTCACGATCACATGTCCAAGTGGGTCACCTAATCCTAATAGGGTGGAGTGGCGTGACAAGACACTAAAAGAAAAATAAATGAGGGATAAAAAATAAAGCATATGCACGTATGCTAGTGCTCGTTTGGAGGGGAGGGATCGAGAACCAACGCGAGGCTCTAAGGTGATGTCCCCCATCCAAATGCAATGCAAAGCGCGAGATAAAACAAGTAAAACATACATCCAAGCAACCAATCATACATACGTGAGTGAGGGAGTAGTTTGATATGCGCGCGAGGCAAAAGGTCCAAAAATGGAAAATGCAACCCTAATATCCAAATGCTACGCATAAAAAGGGTAGAAAACGGAAAAGAATGGCTAAATCAAATGCTTGGACCTACTTAGGAGAGTCCCCAGTGGAGTCGCCAATCTGTCGCGCCCCACTTTTTGAATGGTGTGTGTAAGTAGTGTGTATATGAACGTGTGTGAAGATGAAAATAAAAGGCCGTGGGATTGTGAAATGCGACGGTTTGGCCAAACAAAGTTCAAAAAGGGTTTTTGAATGGAAAATGGAGTCGCCACTTGGTATAGAGTTAGGGTGTACCAAGTCACCCAAGAAAAAGTGATTTTTTGGAAAGAAAAAGCAAACAAACCCTTTTTAAAGAACTTTTAGGTCTACGTAACCAAAGAAAGGGATCGGGGGTCACATTTGATAAGAGAGAAGGCAAAGGCAAAGCCTAAGGCACTCCCTTACCCTAGCCAAAGCTAGTTGCGTGACTTAGCCCTTCTTTTTCTAATTTTTCCTACCCAAAGTATGTGTTGCATGTTGGATATGACTAATGGATATGAAAACAAATGCAATCCTAAATCTAAAAATGTTTCTTATGAGGCTTTTTGGTCCCAACCACATGAATTGTGATGGCCAGTAAGAAAAGCCCTCATAGAAGTCATGAATAATGCAAATGAAGACTCAAGTATGAGTGTAAGTGTGCAAATGTAAGAAAAGTGCAAGTAAAATAAAAACAAATGTAAGTGCAAGTGTGCAAATGTAAGAAAAGTGCATGTGTGCAAGTGCAAGGAAAGTGCATGTGTGCCAATAGAGAAAATAAAGGTGTTTGTGTGCAAGTGGATGAAAATAAGGTATAATGGTAGTAAGTGCATATAAATGCAATTTGGGTGCAATTTGTGAGGTAGAAAATAAATAAGTGATAGGAAAAGAAGAAAAATGTGTGATCATGGCATGTGGATTGAGAAAAATATAAGTAGTGAGAAAATGTGGATAAAGAAAGTGAGGAAGTGATGCAATAAAAATGAGAGTGTATGAACCTAGAGGAATGCATCAAGTCGGGTACGGGGATGACTTCTAACTTCATGATTTTTAATTTTCCCTTTGATTAGAAGGAAGAACTAGCGTGCTAAGGCTATTTTGTAGCCACACTCGCTCGTTTTCCTTATCGAAAGGGGACTTTCAAGCAAATGTACCCTATAACTAACATGAGGATGCAAAAACCTAAAATGAAGGGGAAAGGATTGGAGGATCATGCCAAATGCTAGAAAACTAAGAAAAAATGTATGAAATGTAGTGAAACATGCAAGTATGCAATAACGAGAGGGGCGGCCTATTGGGTCTAGCATTGGACTAGCCCTTTTTCTAAAATTTTCTCACAAGCATTGGACTTGCGAGAGCACGAGGGGACAACCATGACTAGCATTGGACTAGCCACGGTGACGTCATGCATTCATTATAAGCCAAATAAATCATGTAAAGGCTAATAAAGCAAATAAACACATAAATCACGTATTGCACATAACACATAAACATGGTATCTAGATGCAAGACCCTAAGAAAGCAAGTAACACGTAGCACACAAGCATGCAAATCACACTAATGAACCTATTACATTGGCTAGCTAAAACAAATGGGGAAGGGGAAAAGTGAATAAAAATGCTCTCCAAGCCCTATCTATTACAAGCCAAGAGATGTACACATACCCCATAAAAGAATAACTTAATAAAAACAAAAGTAAATGAAATAAATGAAAGGAATTAAGGAAAAGCGAGGAAAGCAAAGTAGACATGAAATTCTCACTTAGCACGTTGGATCACATAGAGGAGAGACAAAAAAGATAAAAGAAGTTATACCTCCCTCGCGGTGGTAATCAAATGAAGCAAAAATGGCTTCAAAACAATAAAAAGGTCAAGGTACCACTTTAATTAAGATAAATAAAAAGAAATGTGTAAAACAAAGCTCACTTGATCATAAAGCCCCTAAAGTCATGACTTAAGTGCAATTGAAACAAAGCATAGTAATTAATTGAAACAAACAAGCAATGAAGTTGTAAAATTAAAACTACCAAGGTTCAAATTGAGGAAATTATTCAATTGATTGGGTCCTAGTAGCGTAAACCAAAAACCGAGGGGTTGAAATACAATTTTCAAAAGGAATTTCATGCATGCAAGCTACGAAGAACTCATTTTCTTCAGCCGAAAAGCATTCAGCAATTTTTTCCAACCGCGGCTTTTCTTTCCATTTCATCATGCAGACCAGATTTTGATTCAAATACACGGCTTTGATCAGATATTTTTCAACCCAACATCACAACCTTAAGCTAAACAAGGCATAGATCGTGAAGTACAAGCTCAAGTGGGAGATACTAGTGGAACTCGAGGTCATGAGCATGAAGATTCAATAATTGTTATGCTTATTCAAGTCATTGACACAAGTGAAGAAAG